TTTTAGTCAGGCGCTACTTTATATATCTAAAGTAGCTACTTTAGATAAATCGCTACTTTAGATGCAACAGAACTATCTAATGCGCGTTATTTTGCGCTTAATACCCCTTTAAAGTAATAATGACTTTTTTTATTTTTATTGTTTGGAGCATAGCAAAACGATCGTTCTTGATGTTGTGTTAATAAAAAGTAACTTCAAAATTTTTTGCCCATTGTATTATGCAATTTATATTAAACAAAGCATCAAAAAATCGACTATTTGTATCGAAATTGAGTCCTCCGCTACGCTCTAAACAATAAAAATAAATAAAAAAAGTCGTAATTACTCTAAAGAGAATGTTACAACAAACCTAGCAAATATAATTTTCATTTGTATAGATTTATAATTTGCAAGTATATTGTACCTTTTGTACCCAAATAAAATAGCCGTATGACGGCATCCAAAAAAAGAAGTCAACAAGAAACCTTAGTATATTGTATGGACTGGTCGTCAAACAGTCCTGATTTGAATATATTGAAAACCTTTGGAGTATCGTCAAGGACAATATAGAAAAACGTATGCCAAAAAACTTACCAGAATTAGAGCAATATATGAAAGAGGAATGAAATAAATTTTCAAATTCAGTTTTAGTTAGTTTAATGAGGACAATGAGGCGACGATGTGAATTGGTAATTGAAAATAATGGTGAACGAATATCATTTAATTTTTTAATAAATAAATCATCTAGTATTTGTCTACCAACTACTGTACAATAATTTTATGCGATTCTACACAATCGTTTTCCCGTAATCATATAATTTTTAATTCCAATTTTTTTTTGTCCAATCCTGTAAATTGATAGATTCAAAAACTTGAAAATCAAGTTTTTGATTGATTTTGCCATTCACTAAGGAGGACGACTGTATAATTAATAGTATTGCCTCAATTAAAGAGATTAGTTTGTAATCCTTAAAGTTTACTGACTAGATATACCAATATAAAAATATTTCTATTACTATTTTTTTTCTCTTGATAATCGATATAGATCTTAACATCTATTGGCTAGCTCAAAATCATTCCTGCAGCTACGGCAGTGGTAAAATCAGAGGCCACCCTGGTGGTCCACAAATTTTGAAATTAGCTATAAAGTACATGTAAGGGGTATTATTAGAGACACATTCTGAATAAGTTTTTTTTAAACTAATTTTATTTCGAAATTGGGTCGTCCAAAGCGGAGCAGAATCACATAATACATGACCAATCAATTATTGATCACCGGCAAAGCAACAAGAAAAAAAAGCGAAAATAGCAGTCTAAACCTACCTTGAGTAGGTTAAGTAAAGATATCGGGAAGACAATTTTGCTTATATATAACTACTTAAAACCTGTTCTAACCCTAATTCTAACCCTAAAGTTAATTCGATAAAATATATATTATAAGAATCTACACCGCTTTAGACGTTCCCCCAGAAATAGAAACCTATGCTCCGTGACTTGTCTATCCGAGTAACTACTATAACGGGGAACTTTATTTTAAAAAGGACCTTTGATAACTCATGATCTAGTGACCAATTTTGGTAATTCGAATAATATCAAAATCTACTTCGCTTTACAGTAGAAACAGTGCCCGATCCAAAGCGAATCTCTCTCGCCTGTGATCAATTACAAATTAAATTATTTATATTGGATTTAATTGTGATGGATATTAATCCCTCACCGGTTTTGATATATATGTTCTCTGCTGTAAAAGCGAAGTTAACTTCACTTTAGACGTTCTCCAATTTTAATAATTCGAATA